TCCCTGTCTTTATATACCTGACTTTATATACAGATGTTTCGGGTGAGTGTGGTTCTCGTTGTTGTCGAATGCGATCATCGCCAAAAAATCAACATCACGTTCGGCATACAAAAAGATTTTATATACTTATTAGCCAGGCAGCAGCAGCAGCAGAAAAATAAAAATAAAACCAAACCGAACCTCGCCGGCGATGGTGAAAAGAACGAAATGTTATGCGTATATATTATACAATATAAAACAGTCTGTCAAAAGAAGAAAAAAGCTGAAAAAACCAGAACCCATTGACGTAGGAACGCCAAAAACTTAATCATATCGCTTTAAAATAGAAGATGAAACACACAGAACTGAATGTTGCTCTTGGGGTTTTGACTTCCAGTCGAGAAGAGGTCAAGTCGTGGCTAGGCAATGATATCTTTGTGATATTTGACCATCATTAACAGCGGGCCCCTGAGTCATGAATGAAAGTGGAGTGGATTCTAATTAGGCAATGCCAATTCTCTGAAATTCTAAAGGTTTCAAAAGGTTACCGAGTGTGTACAAAACAATACTAGATTGAAACTCCGATAGGATGAATCTTACAAGACTTTGACTAACCCAAAACTTGTTCTTCCCTAGAACTTTTCTTTAAATTTCTCATAGACTTCTCAGAGCCACAAAAGTGTCAAAATCTTTGGCACGTGGGCGTGTCTACATGGTCGTACAGAATATTATTCGCCATAAATCTTAAACTTTTGCCAAAAAGAAAACCAGTTATAATTTGAATTTCTTTTGGTGGCCAAAACGGATCTTCGATCGTGGAGTTTTGTTGGAGACACAGAAGTGCGTGACATTTATCGGGTTTTATGGCCATTCTGTCCGTTAATTAAAGAACCAACGCCAACGCCATGGTAAATAGAAAGCCAAAGGCGGCGTCTTCAATGGCTGGGGATCGGTGAATTGTGAATGCTCGACGGGAAACTCGATCGCTGGCCATTAAAGCCCATGCTGCAGTTCTGGGTAATTTGGAAAACATTTAAATTAGGGCACGAAAGGGGTTGTCATTAGAAAATGCTGGGCATGTCGTGCCCTTAATGTGGCCACGCTCAGAAATGTCACCTAGGAATGGGAATGGGAAGCTAGAGTCCCCAAGAGCCAGACTCACTTTCATTGCCACTCGTCGGAATATGTGACACACATTTATTGGTAAATCGCATTTGGCCCGCAATTAATGCCAATCACGTGGCTGACCGCCAATCCACCTGACGGGGGCTACCACTACTGGATTTTGTCACAAAACGCTGACGGCAGTGCGGTGCATAAGCAAATCGGGCTGACTTTGAAGAAAAACCCCAAATGGCCAATTGAAATGCCAGGCCAGTTGACCTGGCGAGTAAAAAATAAAATGCAAAAATGCGAGCAGTGTTCGACAAAGTGTTTAACACCGAACAATTGTCAAGGCGCTCAATTAGAGGCGGTGACACTGGTGATTCGATCAATCGACCCAAGGAGCTGGCCGAGAAGAAACCAAACCCAAACCAAACACCCATTGTTGCCATCCGTGTGCAGAGTTCATTGGCTCGCAGATCGATTGGACTGATTGCCTAATAATCTTTTCAGTGCGTGTCCCATTCGCCGGGGATTTAATTCCGACTGCTACTCGCAGATCCAATCAAAGTCATTCGCACCCGCTGCTGGCCCAAGTTAATTGTCTCATAATTATTTATAATAATTTCGGAAAATGTTCTACCGTTGCAGAGGAAACGAATCGAGCGAACAGACGGACAAGATGATTTCGCGCCGCAAGATCATATCGCGTTCCCTGGACAATTTGGATGCCATCGGGCAGGAAGAGCAGGAGGAAGACGTCTGGCACGATCGCGAGAAGCTCTTCAGGGTGCGTTCTCCGCCTATTAGAACTCATTTGGGGTTTATTGACTTTTATTATTATTATTATTAATCCGCAGGACCACATCAACGAGGTTCTGTCCAAGTGGGAGCAGATCGATGACGAGATCTGGGCCAAGATAATTGTCTTCGAGAAAAACCGACGCGTGGCCAAGGCCTACGCCCGCTCCTCTGTGATAACCATAAACGGATCCAAGAATGGATTCGATGGAGTGCGGTGAGTTTGAATTTATAATTTAGAGCCAAAAAAAACCAAGATAAGTAGTATTATTATTTTATTTTACAATTTTTGTTAGGCCGAGGTATACACTCTAATACTTATAAAGAAATGTTTTCTGAAAGAATAATTTGGAAAAAAACTAGTCAGTGCAAAAAGAACAAAAATCCCCCATTGATTTCGAGTTAATTTTTCAAAATCTACGACACTAATTATAAAATTATCTGTAACTATTTCCAATAAAGTATATTTTCCAAAATAGTTAATTAATTATCAAAAACTTTTTCCAATAAAGTACATTTTTCAAAATAATACATTTCTTTCTAAAATGTAGTAAATTAATTATTAACTCCAAATCAATGGTGAATATCTTTGGTTGTACTGAAATCTTCAGAGAATCGAATTTTTTTACCGATTCGCCAAGATGTAACATTTAACGTTTTGAAATCCAACTAAATTTATAATCCAAAACCCACAGCATTGGCCTGAATGGCTTCGATAATCCCATGCGCGATGCGGAGACGAAGGTGATCAAGAAGTCCATCGGCGATGGATTCAAGGTCAAAATGGACGACACCGGCAACATATTCATCAAGCGGTATGGCAAGAGCAGCATCTATGTGAACACCACTTCGCAGGGTAACGAGGAGACGGTGATCGGGGGCGACATAATCCAGATGCCGCAGATGTCCCTCACCTCGGGAACCTCCGCACGACTCTTCGACATGAAGAAGTTCCAGACGAACATAAACCGCGAATTTGCACGCTCTTATCCGGAACGCGGACGACTGGAGCGCCAGTGCCTGTCCGCCGTTTCGCTGGTCAAGTCGAACAACAATCTAATCAACACTCCGGTCTGGATATTGGTGGTCAACGTGGTGGCCATGGACATGCTGAGGAGTCGCCTCCAAACCATTCCCAAGTCCCTGGACGCGATGGGCATGCGAGTTCCGCTGACGAACAGCAGCGAGGATCCCTACTCCACCATCGAAAGCCAGGTGGGACTGATCTATCCCACGCCCGCCGCCTCGGATGATTCGCAGAACTCCCAGAATTCGCAGAACTCGAGCAACTCCAGCAAGGGTCGTCGCAGCATCTTCAGTGCCGCCTTCCTCAACGAGGGTCCATATGTGCCCAAGGTGGGTTTTAATTTAGTTGATATTTAGTAATAGGTTCTTTACTTGATCGTTCTTAGATTTTGAGTTGAAGAGCTAGATTAAGAAGTAGACTAAATGGTAATTATATTTTAACGTCCACATCTTCAAAGATTTGAAAATAGTATAAAAGCAATTTTGTTTTTATTATCTGGGCCTATTGAAATGTAGAAGAAATTTTACAAATCGAACCATTTATTTAAAAGTTATGAGCAAGTAGTGGTATATATATATTTAACATTTTTAAATGAAATACCAATAATGAAAAAGCTAAATTTGCCATTATTTTCTTAAGTTCTAAATCATTCCTTATGTTTGTAATTTTCGCATATTATTGAAGCATCATTAAATAAAATTTTTTAAAGGTAAACAAAATTAGAAAAATGGCTTAATTAAAGTTTAATTGTTTATTAATTCGTAAAAGTATATTAACTGAAAGTCGGAGAAATAAATAAATTAGGAATTTTAGGATTAGCTATTTTTTTATGTCAAGATTCGTATTTCCTTACCATTAACTAACTAAAATACTTAATTTATTATTTTAACAGCCCGACTACGAGTCTGGTGGATCGTTGATGCCCATTTACGCGGACAAGAAGCGACAGAAGAGCAGTGGGGGGCAGCAGCGGAAGAAGCAGGACGATCCGTACTACTGCGGCCTCCTGGCGCGGATCCCCAACTTCATCAAGTCCTCGAAGCAGTCGTGTCCCGGTGGAGCCAGCAAGCCCAAGAAGGAGCCCAAGATCTCGCGGAAGATCTCGGCACAGCACCAGCACCACCAATTCCATCAGCCGGCACAGCCCATCCCCATCGCCACCTTCCACCACTCGTACTTCCCCTACAAACTGTATCCCCCGCAGCACCGTCTCTCCCAGTCGCAAATGTCCCTCTGGGATGCACGTAGTCTGATCAGCGCACATGGTAGGTCGCAACCTGATAAAAATTTCCCTAAACTAAACCCAAACTAATGTGCCTGTTTCCCCCTTTTCAGAATGATCATCCTGGCTGGCCCTAATTTATTCATCGTCTAGTGTTAACTTTACCATTATTTAGTCAAAGCCTACGATTTAGTTTAAATAGTGGAGGATCAATGGATCACTGGATCATTCGATCACCGGATCCCTGTGGAGTGCATTTCGCTCAGTTTTGTGATAAATGCAGCGAAGTGCAGCCATTTAGCGTACAACTCTTAATACGCACTAACCCTAATTAACCGCAGTTAACTTTAAGGCAAGCAGAGAGATTTAATGATTATGCAATTTGTAATGAGTAATTAAAATTTTGCCATAGTTTCTTAAATCGTTTAAGACTGAGAGAATGTCCTAGAGCCCACGAAAAGCGCACGGAGAGATTGGCGGATATTCAGGATGGGGGCAGAGAATGTCATAAGCAAATTAATTGCTACTTTAGGCGAGTTCAATTTATTGTTTTCTTATTATTTTTTGCTGTACATACAATTCATATGTAAATAAGTTCGAATTAAAAACATGTAAACGACATTAGTGTGCATTAAAGAAAGTTTAAAAAGTCCATGTGGTTGTTTCATTTTAAATGCGTTATTGGGTTATCTGTTTTAATTTAACATTTAAACAAGTATTTTCTTTGTAAATCGAATTTCTATGTTTTTGAGACATAGAATTTTTAAGAACATTTGTACTTGCAAAAACTTTGAAAAAATCGATTTAAATGTGAGTCTCTAGACAAATACCTATATAATAAATTTTAAATTTAGTTACATGCTTGGCTCACAAGGACTTGGGCCTAATCATCATTTCAGCTAATATTAGCGAAATCTTGTCGCTACGAAAGCCATTCCAATGAATTCCATAACCAGTCGGAGATGTTCCATCTTTGTAGTATTTTCCAGTAAGTTTACTGTAATTATAATTTTTTTAAATTAGTCATTTATAATCAGTTAATTTAAAAAGGCATACCAGTGGAAACAGTTGTAGTACCACCAACCACCGTTAAAATATTCGGCGCAATTTAATGTATTCTGATCACCGCTATTGTCACGATCAAATGTGGTGAACTTCTTTCCCTTATGCGGATTTAAGGAGTCTCCGGCAGTACCAGAATAATTTCCCAACGATTTAAGAGCGTAGGATTCCTGCTCACTATCGATTTCAAATTCATTGTAATCAGCAAACGCAGTAATTCCATTAGGATCCTCAAGCTTCACGGAAAGTTCGTGTGTTTTATCCTTAGTCAGTTGGTGAAGTTTCTCCACCCCAATGAAGAATTCTCCCCTTAAGTCGCCAAATCCATTCTTATAGTCCTTCCAGTTCCGATTGAAGTCCTCTGTTCCTGGAGCCTGACGCCTTAAAATAACCATCCAGCCAGTGGAATTACAGGAAGCATTAAAAATATCCAGCCCGGGCCTATTTATTTTGTATGTTCCATTTGGATGACCGGTGGGGCATCTGTCTGTTCCAGTACATATTGATAGTTCTTCTGTTACTTTGGATATTTTTGCTAAATGGGATTTTGTCTGATTATGTAAGCTATCGATTTCATTATCTTTGGTAGAAATCTGTTCACGCATGTCTGTGATTTTGATCTCCTTTCGATCAATTTCTTCACTGTTGATCTTTATTTGTTTCCTTATATCGTCTATTATTTCGTCTTTTGATTTTATTAGGTCATCTTTGTATTTTAGTTTTTCATTTTTGCTTTTTACTTCATAGGATTTATGGCCGAATGAGAAAATCTTGGACAGTGTTATTAATTTTTAATAATTTTTGTTTTATTTGTATCAGAATTTTGTTTGTTTATATTTGCTCATAGGAGCTGGTATATACATTTAAATTTAAATTGGTCAATCATAATTTGTAAACCATTGTATTTAAACAAATTAGTTAAAACCGTTTAGTATTTCAAATACCTTTTAAACGGGTATAGCATGCTGTAGTCGTGTGTAGAACTTACAAATAACGAAATTTAGCTATTTCTAGCTTTTTTCCGTAAGGGGGTTTTTCCAAAGTCGTAACAAAGTTTCCTATTTGGAACTCTTTAAAACAATTGAAATGATTCTATGAGCCTAAAATACAGTTTGGATACCCACGCACAAAATTAAACACTAGGAAGCGTTAGTTGTTCTGAGCTGGAAAGTGGCTATTTTCGTTTCTGAATAACTTTTAAACGCGATTTTTTACATAAACATAATATACAAATTTAAGGAATCTCAAGGGCTATACAGTTTAAAGTTGTAAGGAAAATCGTTAGAGCGTTTTTGAAAAATTAAAAAGCTAAAAAAGTTTAAACAAATTTTCTTTTGTTCATATCTTTTTAACTATTACATTTACACAAATTGCACATAGAAGGCGTATATAGCATTTAAAAATACCTTTCAAACGAGATGCAGCACAAGTCGGTAGCTTTAGTAGTATAGAAGTTACGGCTTTCTGAATTTTAGCTATTTATAGCTGTTTTCCGCTAAACTAACTGTTTTTCCAAAGTGGTAGAACAAAGTTTTTATATCGATGTGATGAACGTCATATAAATTTTCAAACTTAAAAACATGTTTTGGACAAACTGACAAACTGACAAACAGAATTAAATTTTCATTTTGGGAAGAAGAAGAAAATCTTATTTTGGTATAACTTTTGAACGGAGCGTCGATTTTGACATATGACCCCTCATTCGACGGGTATTTTCAAAAGGATCAACTAAAACATTGCATTTATCCCCACCGGCCCAACAGCTCCAAAATTCAAATTTTCACTTTTTCACTTTCACTCCTCTCCCAGCCATTGATTTTTTAAGTCTTGGTTGAATCCTTTAAGTTTTTGCAATACCTTTCGATTGGTGTATTACTCATTACGATCGACTTCACGCGATTTTCAATTTTGCGGCTATATAATAGTAGTGCCTTTGCACACCTCCTGGTGCGCTTTGTCACTACATGGACTGCCGTCCATAGTGATTACGTCGTCTTTGTTTTTCAGCTCTTCATTTTTATCATTAATTTACTTAATATAAGCTTTAATAAGCTCTTCCTTTGTTTTGATTTCGTCTTCAGCACTTGATAGCCGGCTTTTAAAGTTATTGATTTCAGCGGTCATATTATTCACTTTATCAACGTTGGCATTTAACTGTTCATTTAGAGCAGCGGTCGGCACACACATACGTTGACATTTTGTTTTGTATTTGTGTGAGTAATTTGCACTGGGCAGCTCATCGATGTGTGTGTGCAGACCGTTGTTCTACGTTATACATGTGCGAGCAGCGCGGCGGCAGAACAAAACCCTACGCTCACTTAATAGGGCGCTGCCGACCGCTGATTTAGAGCCTTATGTTCTATGTCTTTTAATTGTATTATGTTGTCCTTCCTTTTCAGCTCTTCTGTTCTGTCATAAATTTCATTATCTTTAACTTTTAAAAGATCGTTTGTTCTTCATCACTTGATACCCGGCTCTGTAAATTATTGATTTCAGCGGTCATATTATTCACTTTACCATCTTTGGCAGTTATCTGTTCCTTTAAAGTCTTATTTTCTTCATCTTTTAATGTTAACTCTTCTGTTTTATCAAAAACTTCTTTATCTTTAATTTTTAAAAGTTCCCCTTTTGATTTGATTTCTTCTTCAGCACTTTTCAACAGACTTTGTTGCCTATCAATATTTTCCGTCACAGACTTTATTATGTCATCTTTTTGTTTTATAACAATTTCTTGGTTTCCCAGTTGTTCCGTTTTTTCCAAAATTATGCCACTTTTTAAATTAATAGACTCTTCTGCAACTGCCAACTTACTCTTTAGGTCATGAACACTACTTAACAAAACTTTTTCGTTTTCTTGAAGCTGCACCAAATTTTTAAGAACGATATCGTACGCCGAAAAAAAATATTTATTGCATTCTATTTGTTGTTTTTTATTGGTCAATTCCTGCAGTCTATTTGCATTTTTAGCAAGAGATGTCTTCTTAAAAGCCGAAATAACCAGAAAAAGCACCAAACACTTTAATTCCATCATGTTAAATTTGTATTTGTAGAATATGTACATTAGGGTGGTTTTTTTTTGTATGAAAAATTCTAAGGTCCTACTCTCACCCCCTTATACTTTGCGCGTTGGTGCATTTAAGACATACCAAAAGAAAAATTTAAAAATGCGATTTAGTGCTTGCGCATTGACCTTTAAGTTTATCACTCATACGTACTGTTGCCTTGATCAAATATTTTAATTTCATATAGATGGCGTAGACTTGTCATTACTTATTGAGTCTAAACATAAAGGTGACCTTGTCACCTTTACAAACGGCTAAAGAAAAATAAAATCGCTATGGCTATATAAGTTCCAACATTTAAGGGAGTCGCAGCACAGAATCAAACAAATTTTTTTTTATTTATTGCCTCCAAACTATAAGCAGAATATGTGGATAAAAAGCTATTTAGATATTTTTAAAAGAAGTAACATGGGGTGACTCTCTTAGGAGTATATCGTAGCCAAAAAAAACCCTTGCTAGGGTTTTATAACAAGTTTAGAACCCAAGTCGAAACCTAAATTTTTACCTTAGTTTGTTTTCGTAGTCTAATACAAATTCAGGTGAATTACATGGACTATTATTCAAAAAATTTGTCTACATCTACATTTATTGAATCCTACATATTTAAATAATAAAAGACAATCAAAGCAATATAGTTATACCGAAAATTCATAGATTTATTTATTTTGTCCCTGCATTATAGGGTATTGTATTTTTAGTCAAAAGTTTGCAACGCAATGAAGGAATGATTTCCGACCATATAAAATATATATATTCTTGATCAGCATCACTAGGAGAGTCGATCAAGCCATGTCCGTCTGTCTTTTCTTGTTAAGTCGCCTTATTCGTCAAAGGACGTACTCGAATTTCCTTGCTCTCCCATACGCTAACCAGCATTTTTGCAACAAGCTGAGCACTTTCAGATAAGAAACTTTGTTTCAGAGGAACTGTCCTGTAGAGCAAAGTACGGTCCTCTTTAACGGCAAAGTTTCTTCTTCATCAAAATCGAAATTTAGTTTTCCAACCAAAAAAAGGTGCTCTCCATTTTGTTAACGATTATAAACGAAATCAAATATTTGACAAGTGTAGATATGGGAAAGATTTGCCTTCCCAAAATTCATACTGGCTTACGTGCCGTATGAGTAATCTTTTTGAAACTTTGAGACCATTGCGCAAGCCCTTAGACTTAATTTAAAATTTTTTGATTTTAGTTTAAGTTATTTTGCGCAAATATCTTGTGTTTAAAAGGGTGAGATAAAAATTCCTTATAAAAAACCGCCCTAATGTACATAAGCAGCGCCTAAGAATTAAACTGAATTTCAACCATGGTTGTACCCATATTTATACTCAGCACTGAAAAAATCAAGAAGAATTTAAGGTTTTGATGAAATGTACATAATGTGTCCATTAGGGTGGACTTATTTTGTATGAAATTTCTAAGGCCATGCTCTCACCCCTTCATATATAGCCTTTTTGTATCCTTAGTCCATTAAAGAAAGAAAAAGTAAAAAATAATTAGTTTTAGGCGGTGCGCAACGGCTTTAAAGTTTATTACGCATATTTCAGATTCATCTAGATGCCGTAGACTTAATTTTATACTTTGACAGTATTTTAAAAAGTATCATAATCACTTTCCCGAGCTTTTTAACAAGGGATGAAGTCGTTGATAAAAGCGAGTCCCTGGGAGACAATTACAACTTAAAAATAACAATAATAACGAATAATCAAGGACTTTTAGAGTACAACTTATAAATATTACGGTCTCTGAAAATAAGAGTTTTCTTCTTTGACGAAAATTTTTATTGGCGAACAAAAGTGATAGTTAATCTTTAAAATTGTAAAATAGAATCTCTATTTCATTGTGAGTCACAAAAAAAATGGTGAGTCGGGGATCGAACTCGGTCCTTTTTGTTCGGAGACGAAGCTCTACTGGCTAGGCTACGTCCAACTGTTAATATTCATGAAATACATTTTACTTGACTCCTTTATTCGAGCGAAAAAAAAGTTGACATGTTAAAATCTGACAAGAAATGGAATGGGGTAAATTCCTAGTTTTACACTTAATTTTTAGCGAAACTTTAAGGCCATTGCGCACCGCCTAAACGATGAAATAAAATTTTTCTGTTTTCGCATAAATTTATTGGACACAGAAACCTACCATTTAAAATGCTGAGCTCAGTTGACCTTAAAGAAGTCCACCCTAGTGTCCATAAGTATATTGCGTACACGTATGGACATTGAACATATATGTATTCAATACAAATATTAATAAACGAGATAAGAAAGTAATGTTTCTAGAACTGTAAAAATCAGAAACATGAAGATGACTAAGCACTGGTACTGCATTTTTTGGGCGATACTTATCAGCAAATAAAATAATCATTTGACTTTCATAAAAAAAAACAATAGGGGACACTCACAGAAATTATATGGGAAATTTTAGTAATAAATTCTTATAATGCTTGGAATTTCTTGGGGATTTTATTTAATAATTTAATTTAATAAACTTGTTCCAAGGAAGCCGGCCAGCCGATGTTTATATAGCCTTGCATACCTTACCAAATCATTTAAAAATTACTTTCAGATATAGTAATACCTACTAAAAACCAACCTAATTAAAAATGTTAAATTGAGTCTAACAACTGTTTTTGTACTATTTTAACATATGTATGAGTATTTTTCGATCCTTTTATGGTACCTATATAACTTCGTGAGCCAAATTTTTGTTAAAGTTTATTCGAAACTATGAAATATTAATATTGAAAGTTATACAACAAGTTATCCAACATGATAAAAACCAACGAAGTATACTTTTTCCAAATTACCTTTCCATTAATTTTAAGATCGATCCAAAGGCATCTTTATATGTTTAGTGGTCATCTTACGGCGGCCTATGGGAGCTGTAAGACATAGTTGGCCGATCCGACTGGTACCGTCTAAAATCCCTTAACTTGCAATAGAAAGTAGTCTTTTGGGAAAATTTTCACTCCCTTTACAATTAAAATACATCTAAAGCCCACAGCGCAGTGGATATAAAGACAGCAAAAAGTTAATTTAGTTTTATTTGAATTTAAAGTACAAAAAAAGGCCGCCAAGTAAAATGTACTAAAATCTGAAAGCTGAAAATTAAAATTTATCGTTTTTTTAGTTCGATAACCGATCTTACGAATGGGTATTCTGCTGTGGGCAAACGCGGTCACACTACAATCTGTTGTGTTTTCAAAAAATATCGATCATTTTATATGTTTTTCACATCTCTAATTTTTTGTGCAGGTTTGGATAGGACAAATATTGGCGCGTCTTTTCTGGAGATTTGCGACCTAAATTGAGTGCAATAAAGAGCGGGAGAGTGCGGAGCACCTAGCCGCGACCATGGACAAGTTCCTGCTGCGCAATCCCACGTGGAAGACGAAGACCTACGGCTCGATCGTGGCCGGTTCCAGCGCAGCCGCCGCGAAGAAAACAGCGGCGTCACCGATACGCCGACCGTTGCAGGATTCAAATCTGGGGGACTCCAGGCCCAAGCCGGCGACCCTGCCTCCCAAACCCCAATCTCAGGCCCCGGCAGGTTGGCTGTGCATTGCTTTTTTAGAGATCTAACAACCCAGTAGTTTTAAATCCGGATGCGTAGCTAACCCCAAAATTCGTAGTCGTAGAAAACAGTACAGAAATATCAGATCAACATGTGGACAAATGACCCGAGCATCGCTAACAGGCTGCGTTCTCTCTTGCTAGATGACCAGGTGGCCAGGGATCGGCTGATGCTCAAGCCGGCCCTAGCCGTCTCCAAGGCGATCAGCCAGCACCGCTCCGAGTTCCAGAGGGAGCCCTACCAGGACCAGGCGACGGGATCGGGATCGGGAGCAGCGCCCCCAAACGCACCGGCCACGCCCACCAGGCAGGAGGGCCAGTGGGCGCGCCTGCAACAAGATCTCAACAGCCCCAATGCTGCACTTCGTCTGCGCGCCATTCGTGCCTTGAAGTAAGCGGTAGAAATAGTGTTAAAAGAATTTAGAATCTGTAGATCACGTTTTGAACAACAGTCAAAGGATTTAAATTTTAATTTTATCGTTAATTTTATACAAATAATTGTAGTAAACTTGCATCTTTAAGCAAGATATATTTTGTCCAATGTCTATGCGCATTCGTGCACTAAATTGTCTAGAATTCAACATTAACAAACTATAACATGTCATATAGAATTTCAAAGTAATCTTTTAATATCACTTTCTGTACAAACAGAAGATTTTTAATTCTTTTTAAA